CAAACCATTTCATGGATACAGCTGACTCTCTTTGAACGACCACTCTCGTAAGCGACCATATCCCTTTTGCGACCACCTTTTAAATTTCCCGTTATAATTGTTTCCCATATAAACTCTGTAAAAAAAACTTTCTCGTAAGCGACCATCTCTCGTAAGCGACCACTTTTTCCTGATCCCGAGGTGGTCGCTTACGAGAGAGTTGACTGTATATGAAAGTACTCTCTCTATTCCAGTAAGTCTAAACTACTCGCCCGGTGACTCGGACCTTCAAACGTTTCTGGAGCTATACCAACATTTTCCCAACGGAGTCATAACAGCACTCTTCTATTTATTGCTTAAAAAGTTTTAAAAATAATAGTTAACACCATTTAAGATACTGATCCATTCCCTACCTTGAGAGAAGTCATTTCAACTCTGGTAGTAGTTGCAGAAAGCGCTAGAAATTTGAAATAACATTATGTGTTTGTAATACATGCATCAGTATTTTCGGAGAACAATGCGTCCGCCATCTTGAAAAGTGATACTCGAATCACTACGTTGTGCCTTAGAGCAGATTTCGTAGTTGATAAGTCAACTAATCTATCATTATATCGTATTATATTAACTTGACATCAGTAAGAACTTTTTTAATTTCTTCAGTTTCTTTATGAGTCATGATTTCGTGAATCGAGTCACACTTTTCAAGATGGCGGACGCATTGTTGTTCTCCGAAAGTAATAATTCATGTAATAGTCTAAGAGTACATGGGGTATTTTGGAGTACAAATATAATTTCTGAAGCATCAGTAGTTGTTTTTTACACAATAGGAAACCAACCTGCATAATTTTATGCTAATTTGTTTTTAAATGCTTTTCCTTTGCAATCTGTTAAAATATTGTTCATTAGACAATACAAATCTGCATAATTTATCACCTGTTTTGTGGGAAGATTTATCAAAAAGTTAATCAGAAAGACTACTTCATGGAAATTATAAACGAAAGAAATAAGTGATTCCAGGACTTGGTCAAACGCGGAATTTCACATGTACCAAATTCATTGTTAGTACCTCATATCTTTTGTCTCTGCTTATCTCTTAACATTGAACTCAGCACATGTGGAATTCGACGTTTCAACTAGGCCTTAACTAGAGAAGGACTTCATTTCGAGAGAAACGTGGCAATCTGTTAAAACTTACGTTTCCCAGTTGCGTCTTGAGGGATTTGTGAAATAACTCGTATTAAAGTGAATTTGATATGGGATTGCAGATTAGACCTGCTCTATCCCTGTTTGCCTTAGTGAAAAAAAAAACAACAACAACTGTCGTCAGTTTATTACAAGGGATTGCTGATTTCACGTGGCCAACCTGTTTCATGATGTAAAAAATAAAAACTGAATCGAAAGTCAGTGCCAGTAACGTCGAACTTTTGTCGCTCTTTCTAAAGTTTTGAGTAAAAGTGGAATGAGATTTAGAATGAAATCTGTTCTACAGTTCTTTGTTTAAGTTGTTATCGGTTATTGATAGCTGTGTATAAAAACAAGCGGAAACTATGAAATATGAAGGAACTATTGTTT